CTGTCATTCCTATTTAGGTTGGAGAGAAGCTTCAAGTTGGCCTTTAGGAACCTGACACTGACCTTGGCTGTCCTTGCCTGCTGGGCAGATGTGAGTTGAAGCTAATGTCCCGGGCCACGAACAGAGATTCAAGCCACTTGGGGAAAAACATGCAGCAGGCTGGAAAGGCCCCTGTTTAAGGCCAAACCATCTTCCAAACAGGAAGGCGTGTAGTTGTGTAAGAAGTACTGAGGATGCAAAAGGGCAGCTGAGGCCACAGCATGTGGAGACAGGGGAAGCCAGCTCATATGTAACAGGAACTGCATTTTCTTTCCTAATAGAGATGTGTTTTGTATTTTAACACTATTTTAAAACATTGATCTTGCTGGGAAGCCCAGGGGATCACAACTGAGATCATTTTACAAAATGATGTAAAAATAAACTATTATATTATTTAAAAAAATAAGCAAACAAATGACAGTTAAAAAATATATATATATGTATATATTGATCTTGGGCCCTCCCTGGTGGCAACCGGTTAAAGTACAGCACTGTGAAGCTGGCTACAGCCACTGTAGGATGAGTTCAATGCCTGGTGGCCAGGGAGGTGACCCACAGGGCGCAGCAGACCTCTCCTGTCTCCCCGCTGCTCCCCTCAGCAATGCATTTCCATCGATCTGCCTGTTCTGCTCCCCATTCTGTCTCTGGGGAGTCCTCTCATCCCCCACACCTCTGGTCTGTACCCCAGTTCTTGTATGCATATAAATAAATTTAAAAAATCTGTCTTGATTAATTTATATTATTTGGTTACTCAAAAAGTTTAGACTTTCTCTCATTTGCTCTAGACTGAGTGAGTATTCAAATATATCTAAGTGTGATTTCAGAGGGAGGAGAGATAAGTAACAACAGTAACTGCTGTTTCCGTCTTACAGCCTTGCTAGATCCCCCACGCTCTTGATGTGTACTTTAACTTTTCATGCTCATAAAATCATAAAAGCTAGGTTTTGTTAGAATTCTTTTTCTTTCTTTCTTTCTTTTTTTTTAAATATGAGAATATAATGATCTGGACAATTAAGAACTTAGCCCGTATCATGCTATCAAGAGTAGTCAAGTAAAATATTTCAAAGCTGGCCTGGATTTAAGTCCAGGTGTATAGTTGACTGCAGTACGAGATCTGCACCGTCATGCCAGATGCCCCAAAAGACGATATTCACTCACTTAAAAGGTGCAGGGAGTGAGAGGCTTCACCAGACAGAGTGGGGAGCAGAACAGGAGGACTGACCGAAGTACAGTGCTGAGGGGAGCAGTGGGCGGGCCAGGAGAGGTCTGTCATGCCATGGGGGTCAGCTCCCTGCCCGGGGTCAAACTCGCGCTGTAGTGGCGGTGGATAGCTTCATAGTGCTGTGCTTTAATCCCTTGCACCACCAGGGAGGGCCAGTTCACTCACTTTTGAATGAAGCTTCTGGCAGGAGCCTTTTATTAACTTACACCCAACAGAACTTAGATCTGGACACAGTAGCAGTCCTGTTGGAACACTCTGAAAAGTTAGCTGTTGGCAGGGTAGTGCTGTGTAACAACCACTCCTAGGCCCCATGGTTTAAAATAGTAATATTTAATCTGCAGGATCTGCAGGTTGGTAGGTGGCTCTGTGTCAGGCTGTGGCGCTGGAGGTGGCTGGGCTGGGCTGGGCTGGGCTGAGTGGACTGCTGGAAGCTTCCCATCTGTGTAGACATGGCTCCCGGCTCAGGGACTTATCATGTGACTTAATTCTGAGACTCAGATGTAGGGGGCAGCAATTATGTGGGGATTTTTTTTTTTGTAGCAATGACAGAAATGGAAGCGGCTATCCTGCGACACGGCCACATTTTATACTCTATTTATGTTCTGTCTGAGTTTTCTAAATCAAGTCACTGGTCAAGTCCAAGGTCAAGGGCCAAGAGTGCAGAGATCGTAGAAATGCAGTAGTGAACAATTGGTGCTACTAAATCAATCTACCTCACCTGCCAAACCTACCGTCTCTGCATAGTGTGCCTGTAAATTAATGGGTGTCTGTGCACACATGAACGTTATTGCCTGACTGGTAAAAAAGTTATATGCACACTGTAAAAATAGAAGTTCTAGTCTAGTGGGAAAGGCAAACTAACAAACAAAAAAGATGAAAACAACTACGAAAATGAATGTTAGATTTCTTTTACTCTGGATCTGAAGAATAGATAAGTTGTATAAGTCTCTTGGAACAAATTCAAAATCTTTCTACATATTGGGGCCTCCTAGGTGGCACAGGGGTTAGGCACAGCACTATGCAAAGGGCCTATGCAAAGTCCCTGCAGCACAAGTTTGATGCCCGTCGAGGGAGCTGACCCACGTGGCTCAGCAGACCTCGCCTGTCTCCCCGCTGCTCCCCTCAGCAGTGTGTTTCAGTAGATCTGCTTGTTCTGCTCCCCACTCTGTCTCTGGTAAATCCTCTCATCCCCAGCACTCCCCCTCCCCCCATATCTCTGGTCTACACCCCCAGCTCTTGTATGTGTAAATAAATAAAATAAACCATTTTTAGAAAAGATATTTCCTTGTCTCCTAAATTTCTTTACCTTATAAGTTTCAAAACCATGGTGTTATCCTGTTAGAGGAGTAATGCGTTATGAGGCTGCTGGGAGCTTATTGGTGTGGTTGCATCCCTGATGCTCAAACATCTGTGGAACTTGAGCATTCTCTCCGAAAGAAGATGGCAAGCCCATACGAATGAAAATTTTAGGTCTGTTAGAGTGCTGTGAGTGTGGGTGGTAGTGCCTATATATATATTCTTCAATGTTGTCACATTGTTAATGCAAATTTCCTAGGCTTCCGCATCTAATGAAAAATTCTAAACCAAATCATATGAAGATATGATCAGGAACTATAGGACCATCTCTTTCCACCTCCAGTGGTTCCCTGGTATTCCTGAAAACTTCTGGAATAGTTAACCTTGGCACCTGGCAACTTACAGGGTGGTCAACCTTGGTAACCTTATTTGCTGCTGTTTTGCTTTCTGCTCTGCCACCTCGTGGTTATTTTGGGAATTGCATCTTTTGCGGCTCGTCCTGCTGACTCAGCCTAATTGATGTGGCTGCTGTTTTCCCAGAGAATGGGGTGGGATGGGGAAGCACCGGCAGAAAATTCTTCCCACGAAAGTGACATGACAAAGGGGCTGACAGTGTCTTTCAATTTTCCTTTCGTTTCCCTTTTGGGGACAATATCCGCAGAGGATCAGCTGAGGTATGCTGCCAGTGTCACATCTGAAGGGCTCTTTCTACCTGATACCTTAGACCAGTAGACAGGGGGCTACAGAGCCCTAACGTTCTCTAATGTCACCTCTTTTAGCTCACCAGAAGTTCTCTTTTTCTTTTTAAATTAAAAATGTAATACATGCTTACTTAGAATTTATAGTCTAGTAGAGGATACAGATTTTTAAAATAAAGTGTGCATATTATTGTATGATGAGATGGAGATATTTAAGTGACAAATATATATTCCTAAAATAAAATCATGCTCCTAAAATTTCTCAGTGATTGGAAACTCTATAAAAATAGAAGGATGTTCACAGCGATAGAGTGCATAAAACCAAACATCTAATTTTGAGCAACTTGGCTCACAGTGTATGATTGTTCTTCCTTGTTTACCATCTGTTCAAAGTGTGTTTATACCAAGAGAGTGGATAGATGGGACCTTCCTGGTGGTGCAGAGGTTAATGCGCAGCACTATGAAGCCATCAGCAGCCATTGCAGTATGAGTTCTATCCCTGGCCTGGGAGCTGACCCACATGGCTCAGCAGACTTTTCCTGTCTCGCCTGCTGCTCCCCTCAGCAGTGTATTTCAGTTACTCTACCTGTTCTGCTTCCCACTCTGTTTCTGGTGAGTCCTCTTACCACCCTCCCACCTCTGGCCTGTATCCTAGTTCTTGTATGCATAAATAAATACATCTTAAAAAAAGAGAGAATGGGTAGAGCATTTAGGATTACTATCAGTCACTCAATATTAGCATACCAGTGTCCACTGCTAGGTGGGGTGTTGTCTCCTTCTGAGCTAGCAATGTAACTACAGAAATATGAGCTCATTTCTCCAAATCAAGAATTTTATACCAGGACATGTTACATGCTTTGCAGGCATGGTTTTATGATGTACTTATAGATAACTTGAAGTTAAAAGAACTCCAGCTTACTGAGGTTTCATTATCTTTGTAAAAATGTCCTTTATTCTGGAGCAAGACAGCTGGCTTATAGTCTTAAAAGCAGGGCATTGTAGGCCCGTCTCTTGGGACTAGGCTTCAAGCCCAATAAGATTTGACTGTTGCGGCATCTATAATATGTGAACTTGGCCATGATTTCAACTCCCTGAACCTCACCTCCTTATTTATAAAATGGAGAGGGAGAACCGTGAATAATGACACACATTATACTTTATCTCTTATACTGACCACATCCTCACTGTATATACTAGAAGCTCCTTTTTACGGGGGAGGAAACTGAAGTTCACAAAAGGCAAATGATGCACTGAAGGTTAAGAAGTTGCAAGAATGGGGGTAGCAGGACATGGCTCCCGATGTCCGAGTCAGCTGCAAAAAGATGTTCTCACTCCTTCTGCTCCCTGCTCACTTCCCTGTCTACTTCTGACATGGCAGGGAAGGTGAGACTGGTGAATGGGCTTTGAAAAGGATGTCACCGAAATGTACACGGGAGAGATAATGAGACAGGAGGAGCCACACTGAAGCTACAGAGAAACACCCAAATGCCCACAGGGTGAGGGTAAATCTCTGTAAGTGAAGTGAACGTCAGGAACGGCTTTCTCAGATTCCAGGTCTGAAAGCCGTGTCCCAGGAATAGTTTCCTTTCTCTGGACAAAAATTTCAGGGGTTCAGAGGAAAATTTTTTAGTGGTTCTACTAAAAGCTCAGATGCATTTAGCATCATAAGATAAATGCTGGTAGCGAAAGCATAGCCCAGCGGTGGCCCCGCCTTGACTTCCTTCAGGCGTGCTGGCTGGCGCAGGGAGTTCATTCTGCACCAGGCAGAGAGGAGCTAAGGCAGGATGAAGAAGTTATTTGTGCTTTTGCTCTTTCTCCCCTTACTGGCTTTCTTAGGTGAGTTTCTCTGCTGATGTGGTAAACCGGGTTGGGTCTGTTTTATATTTTTAAAGTATTCATTTTTATTTCAAAATATATGTAATGCAAAACAATGAAAGATTTTTCAATATTTCTAAGCGTGAGCTCTCAGAGTTGCTATCATCAGGGATAAACCTTAAAAAATCTTCAAATATTTGAGTACTGGTTCTCAGAAATGCTGATAAATTTTCTACTGTTTTCTAGAGGAGATTATCAAAATTTGATTTGATGTTTACGATATCTTTTAGAGTTAGTGTATGGCGATCTTAAAGCTGAATATGACTTCAGTATCATATTGTTTTCTTTGAGGATCATGTGTGATTATTAAGTTGAACAAAATCTTACTATCATTGGCTATTTTGCAATAATAACTTTAACCTGATTGAGTGTTGGGTATTGGAAAAACCCCACCCAAACAACCCCAAGGGATGACACTGTACAGAGAATTGAAGAAGCCATGTTTTCAAAAACATATTTATTAAGTTAACACCCACTTTTAAAGGAATGAGGTGTGTTTCAGGTGCACAGCTTTTGCTCCCAGTTAACCGTATTAGAAACAATTTAGTATTTTCCTTTCCTCTGAGCCGCTGGAATGCCCTTCCTTTGGGACAGGTCCCTGGAAGGGACTTTTGTGTTTTGACTGAAATTGAATTTGGAAACCCTCTGTTGTGAGATAGGGCGTGAACTTGTGTGCCCGACCCCCCTTATGCCCCTTCCTGATTTTTCCTTCCAGGGGCCTCCCCGATTCTGCCTGAAAAGCAGGCCAAACAGCTCCTGAGATCCCGGCGCCAGGACCGGCCAAGCAAACCAGGGTTTCCGGACGAGCCCATGCGGGTGAGTGGGGGGCGCTGGTTCTCAGAAGGGAAGGGAAGGTGTGATCATTCGGAGGTTCTTTCACTACCAAGCCAAGCTAGGAGCTGGCCCAGCCCAGTGTGGGTCCCAGGTCTGTGAGAGTCTGTGAGTCCCAGGTTGTAAGGTACAAGCCTCCTCACCCTTCTACCCAAGCCTTTTTCTTTCATTTTCTTTTTTAAAAGATTTTATTTATTTATGCATACAAGAACTGGGGTACAGGCCAGAGGTGAGGGGGGTGAGAGGATACACCAGAGGCAGAGTAGAGAGCAGAACAGGCTGACTGAAACACACTGCTGAGGGGAGCAGCGGGTGAGATGGGAGGGGTCTGCAGCACTGTGTGGGTCAGCTCCCTGGCCGGGGATCGAACTCGTGCTGCAGTGGCTTTGGAGAGCTTCATAGTGCTGCGCTTTAACCCCCTGCGTCCCCAGGGAGGGCCACTCAAGCTTTCCCCCTGGGAGGTGAGGTACCACTACCTAAGCACAATGCACACGGTACAGCAAGTCCTCACCTGCTGTGGGCCAGGAGCTCTTGGAAACACTACTTCAAGCAAAGTAAAATAAATAAAGAAGTAAAGAAAACCCATTTTACCATAAGCAAGACTGACATAAGCAAGAGTAAGTTCCTCTGGCATAGGTCATGAACTTCTGAGTACAGACTCCAGACAGTGCTAGTAGTAAACAATCGCTTACTTATTCCAGTTGAGGGTCCTGCATGGGCGGCTGGACCTCCCTGGCAACTCAGGGGAAGGTGGGAGCCAACTTGGGACAGGACGCCCTTCCATCACACGGTGCGCGCACACCCAGCTCACTCAGCCTGGGACAACTGAGGCTCCTGATGCTTGCAAGGGGCCTTTGGCATGCAAGAGGCATCTGAACCCCTTGGGGGAAATCCACACAGACAGAGGGGAGAAGGTGCAAACCCCATATAGACCATAGATGGTGGCCCCAGCCTAGAATTAATCATTTTTCCCCTCATCAACTTTGCAATGAAAGGACATGACTCGAGGACCTGCTATACTGAAAACAGACAGTGTGGTGGCAGCACGAGCCCCCGCACCCAAGGCAGTGCCGGGGTCACTGGATGGCAGTTGCGCCCCGAGCAGTGGCTCCCTCCTCATCTCGGGTGCGCCATGGACTGGGCCAGCCTGCTCAGCCACTGGCACTCTGGGTGGAGAATCGGCCCCAGCTGCCTGTGAGTGGCTGACCCGCCTGATCTCCAGCCTCTGACTTCGGTCTCTGCCCTGGGGGTTGGTGGGGTGCCCCCACCTCCTCATTCTGAGCCAGGGACCCTCCCCACCTTCCCTTGTAACTGGTGGACCTGGCTGTCATTCTGGTCCTGGTGCACGGGCCATCTGTGCCTCCGCTGGTGAAGGGGCCTGCAAAGCAGAGTGCCTGGGTTGTGGCAGGTCTCACCCCAGCCCTCCCCCCCCATCGGCCGGCCCCCGCTGGTCCCGTCACTGGCCTCCGTGTCCAGAAGGCTCTGTGGCAGCACCCACCCCTCCAGTGATAATCCAAATGATCATGTGGGAGATTTGATAATTTCATGGATGCTGTCTGGCTCTGGGGCACACTGGGTTTGAATCTCCCTAGCTTCTAACTGTGGCGTTGAGGAAGTTTGCTCATAGTTCTGCACCCAGGCCCCTCCTCCACAAAATGGGGGTAAAAGCCATGACGATTACGTACACCACTACTACCGCCCTTGTCAATAGTAGGCAAAGCAACTACTTTGGGAAATCAAACAAAGTGTTTCACGGTAAGGCCCGAAGAACCGCGCTCAGCAAACAGTAACTTGCTCTGAGGAGTTAGGCGCAGCCTGGCGAGGGGCCCAGTCGTGCAGTCCCATGGCTTCTGCTCGCATCAGAGGCGGATCCAGAGTCCAGCACCCGGCGGTTCCGCGGCCCGGTCCAGAGACAGCCCTGGGGGCTCCAGGCTCTCACTGTGGGTGCAGCTTTGTTTCTTGGCAGAAGAAACCAGAGTGGCTCAGAATATCGAAGTGCAGGATGGAAGGGAGCTGGTGGAGGCCGGTGCGGGGTCAGGAAGGGTTTGCGTGCCTTGGGCTGTACCCCACGTTCAGCACAGGACAATGGAAAGATTTTTCAAATGGCAGAAAGGTGTGCAGATTCGGGCTTTAGATAGATGGTTCAAGAAGCAACTGGAAGAGAAGAGGGGCAGGTGGGTTTTGGGGCCCTAATGCTCGAGCCAGCAGAGGAGGACACTGAGGGGCTGAGAAGGAAGCGGAGAGATGTTGGGGACACTTAGTGAGGTCGGGGTTTCCAACATGAGAAAAAAGATTAGGAGGAGGCAGGCAAAGCAGGACGAGAGGGCATGAGAAGGATGGGGCGCCATCAGCCCTGGGGGCTCTGACTGGGCCCTCGTGCCCTGGGCCCTCATGTGTCTGAGAGGCCACGGTCCCTCCAGAGGAGCTGCTCTCGCCAGGTTCTCAGGAGACAGTCACCTTCCAGTCAAAGTCAGCCCCTGGGGATGTGTCTCCGGCCTGGCTCCCGGGAGCCTGGTTCCTCTGAGGCTTCCTCTGGAGGGAGGCATTTCAGGCGTCAGGCAGGATTGGGTGGGCTGGGAACTCGGGGCTCAGTTTGTGGCCCCAGCCCCTTCCTGTGTCAGGCTGCAGGGGAGACAGTCACCCCACCTGAGGATGGTGTGTCCTTCCTGCCTGGCACTTCCTACAGCTCCTTCCTGCCTGCTGGTCATCATCTGCCTCAGTCTGTGACAACCTCTGTTTGCCTCTGACTTTGTCACTTTCTGTGTGTGGCCTAGACCTGGGTGGGTGCTCGCTCCCAGCCCCCGCCCCCGGCGGTATCATTGTGCAGCCAGCTGAGCACTACTGACCCACCCGGGCCTTCTGGGAGAGACCCACTTCGTGGAGGGTCAGCTCAGTCGTCCGGTTGGAAACACAAAACTTTGAGCGCGGAACATTGAGGGGACAGTTAAATGTCAAACGAAACAGTGTGGGGAGACGTGGACTGTTGTCCGGGGGTTCAGACAGAGCGAGAGGGTCAGGCGGTGCACACAGAGCTCCTTCTGCCCCACCACCCTGGATGTGACCTTCACCTGAGCCCCTCCAGCCTGACTCAGGACCCTGACAAGGTGACCCAGTACGGGGTTCTGCGAGGGGAGGAGCTGGGAAGGCTTCCTGGAGGAGGTTTGAGGAGTGAGTTTAGGACCCAGCTAAGGCTTGAAGGAGGAATTTTCAGGTAGGAAGAATATTTCATCCTATTTTGCCACTAGCTAGTTGTGGACTTTGGATGTTGGGCAAATCATTTCCTCTTTCCGGAGCCCAGTTTTCTCTATAAAATGCAGTTTGGCTCTGAATCTGTCCTGGAGGTTCACTCCAGGCCTCATCTTTAGAGTTCTGGATGGGCCTCAAGGGTGACGAAGGCTTCCTGCTCTGTGGCCTGGACATGGGGCCATAGACCTGGCCGGGAGCACAGGCTGCAGGGGCTTTCTGACAGCCCCAGAACCCCCCATCCTGCTGACTGCTGGCCCACCGCCTGCACTTCCTCTGGCCTGTTCCCTCCCCTTGTAGTTGACTTTCCCTTTTTGTGGATTTACCTAGAGCAAAATGAACAATACCGATCACTTGTTATGTAGAAAGAGGCGAGTTAGGGCCTCCCTCTCGTGACCTAAGAGTCGGGTCTTGGTACTCTCACCGCTCTGGTTCAGTCCCTTGCCAGGGAGCTGCCCACACATGGCACAGCAGGCCTCTCCTGTCTCAGCCCCTGTTCCCTCAGTGTGTTTGGGTAGATTCTCCTGTTCTGCCCCCCACTCTGACTCTGGTGGTTCCCCTCCCATGCCTCCGGCATGCATCCCAGTTCTTCCATGAAAAAATAAATATTTATTAAAAAAATTAAAAAAAAAAGAGAAAGGGGTGAATTTCTCCTTTTAATGGAAGAAGGACCAGCGAAGTGCCTGGGGCCCTGCACCAGCGTTGAGTGGGCTTGCACCATGCCTCACACTGTCAGCCTCACTGGAAGATCTGATTTGTAGACCAGACGGACTTAGACTTCTTACAACCTCCATCTGGGGACCATGGAGCTCAGAGCCTGAGGCCTCTTGATCCTGGGGAGCCACGCCTTCTCTATCTTTTGCCAAGACTTCCTCCCTTCTGCCCCCATCTTCTTTGTGCCAACTCTCTGCTTACACTTGTCCTTCTGCTAAGGAATAGGAGGTGCCATCCTTCAAGCCTCCTCCAGGAAGCCTTCCCAGCCCCCTCCCCTCCCTTGTACCGGGTCACCTCATTAGGGATTCAAGATGGCCAGTACTGTGTATGTGAGGACGTATATGCATGTGTGTGGGGGGGTGTCTCTGTGTGTGTTATGACCGAATGTGTGCATACGTGCAGCAGGGTGTGTACATAAGTGTTCTGGAAAAGGACTCGTGGAATGAGTTTTTCCAAAGATCAGGATTCCAATTCCCTCCTCCCACTTTCACCTTGCCTGTCTGGAATGGCAGCAGAAGGTCTTTTCAGGCCAGGCTGGAGGCCTAGCTGTCACAGCAGAGTCGACTTTTGTTGTGTGTTCATTGGGAGATGCCAAGAATTTTAGGCAGAGAGATGATGTGATTAGAGCTGGTTTACAGGGACCATTTAGAGCTTCGGGACACGGACTCTTAAATGCTGGCCTTCAATACCGTTTTACATGGGAAATGAGAAATGACATTTTGGACACATTAAGTTACCTCCTTGCCACGTTTCCCAGGAGACAGACAGAGGGGCTGGGACAAATGAGCAAAGGTGGCCTCTGTGGAGTGCGTGTGACCTCGGGAGCTGAACCTTGATACACGTGTCCTCATCACTAATTCAAAACGACCAGGAGATGACTGGCCTGGTTGTTTCATTTTGATGCTCCCTTCTCAGAGACTGGGCAAAAGACCAAAAAAAATAAAAAACCCAACAAAACCAAACCCAAAACAAACAAACCCCCCAAACCCACATTTTTCACAGAGGGGATAGACCCAATGAGGGCAAGT